ACGACTATAACTATCCACGTGTTAATTTGGGACTGCTCTGTGTGTGTGTAAAAGAACAACACTAAATATTCCAATATACACACAAATTAATGATTGCTTCATATATAGAAGTGCCTAATTGGGGTATGTATAATCACCTTTTTTTTATGAAGAATTATTGAGCAAGATATTATTGCAAGGTTATTTGAGGTGTAGGATTGTCGTATGGCTTATTAATATAATATATACTATATAGACCATGATTGATGCACTTGTTAAATTATTATACATGACAATTGACTTATTCATCATCCACCATAATCTGTTGTGTGTCTACTATACATGCCACCACACGATGGACAATCTAGACCAAGATTCATGGCAACTGCTAAGTACTTGGTCATAAATGAAATCAATAGGTAGATAAACAATCATTATGAAAGTAATTTATAGGTAGGTGTTAGGCTTTGAAAAGACAAGTTAAAATTAAAACATTCTAAAGGGGGTCTCTGAAATCATTAAAATTACTCATAAAACCTCTGGCAACCACCAATTTCAGTATTGTTTTGAAAACCGAGAGAGAGTCAAAAGGTGGCATGGACCACTACCAACTATGATGGATAATGGAGTTGAGTTTTAAAAATTTCACTTCAATCTCTTAAGCTCATTTTTTTTAAATAAATCTAAAAAATTGTTCAAAATTAATTTGTTTAAAAAATAAGTCGAGTTCGAGTCAAATCCAAAACGAACTAAGTCAGAGTAGGTCATCTATTTTACATATAAACTAACTGAGTTTTACGAATTCGGGTCGAATCTTTTATGCTCGTTTTTTAAACAAAAATTTAAAAAATTATTTAAATTCAGTTCGTTTAAAACACGAACGAACTGAATTTAAGTCAAGTCTTATCTAAGTCAAATTCAAGTACTTTGGATCAATTACAAGCCCTAATCACCAACTGTTTAGTTTAGATAGTATCAGGATACAATAAAATTATACAAGAATGGCTTAGATCGACTTGTTTGATTTTTATTTTTATTTTCCCATCAAAAGAATCGATTTTAAGATTGTGTTTGATTTTAGGGTTAATTACAAATTACCCCTCCAAGTTTAAGTCATGTTACAATCAACTCTTACTTTTAATTTCAACAAATCACCCCTCAAAGTTTGACTATTTTTCAATTAACTCCAACCGTTAGTTTTTCAACCTCAAAAATGATGGAAATTAATCACAAGCAAGTCATTGAGAAGACAAATTTACCCTTGACAAATTTCCAAAAATTTTCCTAAAATTTCATTAATTCTTAGTAAATAAAAATTAATCTCTTGCTCCGACGACCCCAACCCCCATCTCTTGCTCCGGCAGTTTCCCAACCCTTGCTTCGTCGGTGCCCCTGAACCCCCACCCCCATACCCAACGCCGATAGTACCCCAAAACCTAACTCTAGCAGCCTCCACCTATTTCCTTTTTCTCTATTCGGCAACCCCTCAAACCCTCTACCTATGTCCTTCTTCTCTATTCGGCAACCCCTCAAACCCAAACCCCACCTCCGGTAACCCACCTTCGGCAATCCCTCACCTCCACACCAGAATAAGATTCGAAACAAATAAAAACAAATCAGCACCTCCATTGCACATCCGTCAAGTACCATAGCCGCCTGTTGTTCCACTTCAGCCTAAAACCACCTACACCTTCACTTCCTCTGAGCACCACAACCACCTCCTACTCCACTTCCAATTGAACACAACTGGAAGGGGCTGACGAGCATAGGTTAGGGAGGAGAGTAGGAGAGTTTTCATATATGAGGGGAAATAATCATTATAATCTACATAAGGGTAATTGTGTCATTTCAATAATTTTCAGATCACATGACTTGTGCGTGACTAATTTCCGTCACTTTTCATTATCGAAAATTAAAAGGATGAGTTAAATGAGAAATATTCAAACTTTAAGGGTTGATTTGTTGAGTTTGAAACCCAAAGGAGTTAATTGCAACACTACCAAAACTTAAAGAGGGTAAATTATAATTAACCCTTGATTTTAAACTCTAGCACAAACTCGTGTTCAATATCAAGCTAGACCAATACACGAGCAAGATGATCAAGAGACCAACCGACGGACTTTTATAATATTTGCATGATCCCTTTATAGGCATAAAAAATAACAAAAGGAAGTGGATAAAGAATGGGAACCAAGTTAATGCTTGAAGCATATGCTTGGAAGATCCTCTCCACCAAACCCAAAAGCCATCCCTTTAAGGTCGATAAACCAACGATCAACTCATTCTCTTTCCGGGATCATTCACCACCTCCTTCTGGGTTCTTACTGGGTTCTGATGAGTCTACTAGTATTGGGTAGTAGCAGCAGCAGCAGTGAGGGTCAAGACGACGACGACGACAACGACAACGACGACGATGAAGTTGTTTACAGTGGTTATTGAAGCTGTAACCCCCTAATTTTGATCAGTTGGGCAACTAAATTTCCTTTGGCAAAGCATCTACAATGAGAAGATTGGGCTCATGCTTATTGTCAGTTAAGCTACTTCAGTGGTAGAGATTTTTTTCTCCTCTTAACCATGCTTTTTTATAAAATCCAAATAAATGTTGGAAGAGGATAATTAGAGCCATTGTTTAGCTTTTCTTTGCTTTTCCTCGGTTCTCTATCTTATTTGTACACTTTTTATGTAAATTGTAAGATTCTATAGGCCTATAAACCATAACAGGCTTTCTGCAAGTTCCACTAATTAAGGGTTAGAGTTACTATAGGAATGGATTCCAAAAGGTTTGAACCAACATATAAATTATGACCCGATTAAGTTAACATTATAAAAGTATGAACATCTCACCAGCACATGATCAGAGACAAAGGTTTATCTACAGCCAAATAAACTCGTTTAGTTCAACTGATAATATGATCGAGTTATAAATTTAAATGTCTAGAGTTGGAATCTTAGTAACTCTTTAATGTCAAGCCATAAGAGTTGTATCCCTCGTGAATATCCTAATCTCAATGCATGTGACCTGTCTTTAACCAGACCGAAAAGAGAATTAATCAAAAAAAGAAAATACTAACGAGCTAAAGAGTGGTTGGGATGTGGGGAAAAAAAACTTTTTTGTTTTTGTTTTTAATGGGTGTAATTATTTTTTAATGGGTGTAACTATTTTTTTAATGAATGTAACTTTTTTTTTAGTGTGTGTAACTATTTTTTTAATGGGTATAACTATTTTTTAATGAGTGTAACTATTTTTTTAATGAATATAACTATTTTTTTTAATAGGTATAACAATCACAATCTCATGCAATTGTTAAGTCATGATGGTGTAACGATGTCTCAATACTAAATGACGCAACTATTTAGTTTATATAAACAATTGAATGACAAATTGAGTTGATGTCATAATTTTGTATAATTGTTTTGTATAACTGTTTGGTTTATTAGAACACGTGAGTAACTGTTTGGTGTATTATAGGACAATTGTAATTGATTGATGCAACTGATTAGTATAATTGTGTTATTTTAATATTAATATAAATAGAGTAAGATAAAATAGGGAGAGAGAGAGAGAGAGAAAAACTGTTAAAAAAAATATGTTCCTATTTTATCTTTCATTGCTTGATTATAGTCAAAATATATGGAAGAAATATAAAATGTTTCAACCCATCAGTTATTTACTGAATGACAATATTGTCATTTTTTAAAAATATGTTTCGAACCCCAATTTTTACCAGAAACCACCAGGGACAGAACCTCTTTGGTGGCAATCACTTAGATATGGCAAACAAAATGATTTCTTGCAAGGAAACCCAATGAAATCCTTCCCGGTGATAGTTAATGGGCGTGACAAAAATTAGGTATAGTGCACACATGTTACACAAATTCAGCAGTTCAATGCACAAATAAGGGAAACTGATCTTCTCTAATAATCATTGTGCTTCAATTGCTCATCAAGAAGCAACATTATTCAACATATGTAGAAATTTTTGGAGAACTTCTCCAATGCCTTTACCATCTTCATCTTCATCACCACCACCTTCTTCTCCTTTCTTTCTCCTTCTCAACATTGACTCTTCACCAACACCACCATGGACCTGCCAGACTTCCCAAACGGACGGTCACCGCAGAGAGAGCTCCAACTCCAAGGTCCACGGCCGGCACCTTTCAAAGTAAGTAAAGACTCACACAAGATCAGAAAACCTCCTGTGGCACCACCACAACAGCCTCAACCACAAGCTCAACACCGGTCACCAGTGATAATCTACACAGTCTCTCCCAAGGTAATTCACACCAAACCTAGTGAGTTCATGACATTGGTGCAACGTCTCACCGGCCCATCTCCGGATTTGTCTTCAGCTTCGGCCACTTCATCGTCTTATTTTCAAGATAATAATGGTGCAATTTCGCCGGCGGCTCGGTTTGCTTCCACAGAAAAAACTAAGTCGCCACAAGGGACGAGNTTTAATATTAATATAAATAGAGTAAGATAAAATAGGGAGAGAGAGAGAGAGAGAAAAACTGTTAAAAAAAATATGTTCCTATTTTATCTTTCATTGCTTGATTATAGTCAAAATATATGGAAGAAATATAAAATGTTTCAACCCATCAGTTATTTACTGAATGACAATATTGTCATTTTTTAAAAATATGTTTCGAACCCCAATTTTTACCAGAAACCACCAGGGACAGAACCTCTTTGGTGGCAATCACTTAGATATGGCAAACAAAATGATTTCTTGCAAGGAAACCCAATGAAATCCTTCCCGGTGATAGTTAATGGGCGTGACAAAAATTAGGTATAGTGCACACATGTTACACAAATTCAGCAGTTCAATGCACAAATAAGGGAAACTGATCTTCTCTAATAATCATTGTGCTTCAATTGCTCATCAAGAAGCAACATTATTCAACATATGTAGAAATTTTTGGAGAACTTCTCCAATGCCTTTACCATCTTCATCTTCATCACCACCACCTTCTTCTCCTTTCTTTCTCCTTCTCAACATTGACTCTTCACCAACACCACCATGGACCTGCCAGACTTCCCAAACGGACGGTCACCGCAGAGAGAGCTCCAACTCCAAGGTCCACGGCCGGCACCTTTCAAAGTAAGTAAAGACTCACACAAGATCAGAAAACCTCCTGTGGCACCACCACAACAGCCTCAACCACAAGCTCAACACCGGTCACCAGTGATAATCTACACAGTCTCTCCCAAGGTAATTCACACCAAACCTAGTGAGTTCATGACATTGGTGCAACGTCTCACCGGCCCATCTCCGGATTTGTCTTCAGCTTCGGCCACTTCATCGTCTTATTTTCAAGATAATAATGGTGCAATTTCGCCGGCGGCTCGGTTTGCTTCCACAGAAAAAACTAAGTCGCCACAAGGGACGAGACCACAAAATGGTGATATGGGCAGGTTTAAAGGACAGAGATAAGCACAGAGGTGGAGAGAACGATGTCGTTTTTGGGTATTTTGTCCCCTAATCCTTCTTCTCTTCCGACCATCCCTGTGCGGGATGAGATGACTCGTGTCCGTGAGGACTACGATGCTCGGATGGAGGACTTGTTGGATTCTTCTGTTTCACGGACTCTACTGGAGGAAAAATTGAAGGAGTCCCGAGCTGTTATTGCAGATTTGAACGAGTCCCTGGCTGGTCAAAAATCAGCGAAAAGATATCGAGGGAGCCAGGATGGAAGTGGCCCGTGCCTTTGTGGATGATTTTTTTTAACTTTACTGATCAGGCGACTGAGAAGTTTCTCGGCCTGGGTCTGGAGAAGTTCGCACCTTGTTTTGATGCTCCCCCTAGTGGTAGTGCTCTTGATGCTACTCCTCCTCCTTCTAACTAGTGTATAGGGCCAGTCTTGTTATTTCTCTATGCATTTTTCTGTTTCTTGTTGTTTTTGCTGTCTGTAAACACATTTTTCTTTTTTAATGGAATCCATCTTCTTGAAGTGTTTGTTTCTAGTACTCTTGCACTAATGGTGATGCTATATTGATGTGATATTGCTATACACCCTGCCCCTATACTCCAAAGAGGTCTTGACCTGTTTGAAGTAGTATTGTTTTCTGGGTCATTTGCTTGTATAGCTGGCGACTGTTTGTTTTCTTTTTTTGTACGCGAAGCTGTTGTTCATTTAAAGCAAACTATTAAATGGCTCAACAACTTCTTCAGGTCCTGCGCCCACATTTACTGCTAAAGGATTTCAACAGTCATCTTGGAGGTTATATATTCCCAGATTTTTGTTCGAGTCTTTGGATCCTGTCATTCTCAAAGGTCTTTTTACTCTCAGATCCTTGACTTCCTGTTGTCTTGATGGCTCATTCTCCTCTCTTTAAACGCTGTATGCAGGAGTCTCTCAAGGGCCAGTGGTATTCTATCTTCTTGCTTCCCTCTACACTCACTGTTTCAGATGCTGCCAACCTAAAGAGCATGTATGGTCTGCCCGTAGATCTAGGCGTTAGGGCTTCATCCCCTGATAAGCCATGTAGCATGCTTGCATTGGGAGAAGTTATTTTTTTTAGGGGGCCTTCACATGTGGCCTTCGACCCCCCTTCATCAGGATATTGTTCGAATTCTCTCTCACCATGGTCTGTGACCCACTCGGCTTTCCCCTTCTGGGTGGGCTGTTTTGGTTGGCTTTTTTATCTTCTGGCGAATACAGGGTTTTGAAGTTTTCCCTACTGTTTCTAAATTTTTTTACTTTCTTGATATCTCCTTTGAATTTCCTCCTTTTTTCTATTCTCTTGCTTTCAAATGGAACTTCCATCCGCCTCTTGTCACTGACATTCCCTCTTCCTCTGAGGGGTGGTCCCAATGCTTCTTCTTCACGTCTAGGGACTCGTGGGAGCCTGCAATGGATGAAGAGTGTCGTCTTTGGATCCCTCGTTCTTGAGAGAGTTTCAGGGAGAGAGGTAATCGTTCTTGATGAATCTAGAGCCAAATTTTGCAATTAAATGTTGTACTGACCTTGTTTATGATGGCATTGTGTCGTGCAGGCATTCCCTGTCTTACTCTGCCAGAGGCATCCAATGTTCACAAGGTTGAGAAAGCTTCTCCCCTTTCCTATTATGTCCTTGTTATCCCCCAGAATCTCATCCGTTATGGGATAGGGGAAGCTCGAATAGGACTCAGGTTGTGCCTTCCCTGCCCCGTGAAACGGAAGCTGAGGTGGAGGTGTTGAAGAAGAGGTTGGTGGAGGTGAAGAACGAGAGGGATGTTTTGAAGGCGGACCTTGCCCCGCTGAAGGAGGTGAATGCCCTGCTGGAGGGGGGAGATCTTAAGTTGAAGGGGATTGCCAGGGAGGACCCAAAGAGGGGAGGAGGTTTTTGACGGTGCTACTTCTATGTCCCGGTTGTTGCTACTTCTATGTCTCGGTTGTTGCTGCTTCTATGTTCCTGCCAGTTTTTTTTTTTTTTTGGTGTACTGGTTGTAGTGTTGGCTTGTTTTGATTAATGAAATCTACCCCTTTTGCTATTGATCTCGTGTCTTTGTGTCTTGCACCCGTTCTCTTTTTTGGGCTTAGATTTACAGACCTTTGTGCTTTCAGGCCTTTGTATTGGTCAATCTGATTGATCTTGTGAACTCTCTTAGGCTAAAAAGCCTACTTTTTTCGAGCCTACGAGCTCTTAATCGCTTAGACTTAAAAAGCTTGTAGAATCACCGTTTCCGAGCTCTTGACCTTATGAGCCTTAGGCTGAAAAATCTTGTAGAATCCGAACTTACGAGTTCTTAAGCTGAAAAAGCCTTGTAGAATCCAAGCTTGCGAGCTCTCTTAGGCTGAAAAAGCCTTGTAGAATCCGAGCTTATGAGCTCTTAGGCTGAAAAGCCTTGTAGAATCCAAGCTTACGAGCTCTTAGACTAAAAAAGCCTTGTAGAATCTGAGCTTACGAGCTCTTAGGCTGAAAAGTCTTGTAGAATCCGAGCTTACGAGCTCTTAGGCTGAAAAGTCTTGTAGAATCTGAGCTTACGAGCTCTTAGGCTGAAAAGTCTTGTAGAATCCGAGCTTACGAGCTCTTAGGCTGAAAAGTCTTATAGAATCTGAGCTTACGAGCTCTTAGGCTAAAAAATCTTATAGAATCTGAGCTTACAAGCTCTTGAGTTTACGAGCTCTTAGGTTGAAAAGCCTTGTAGAATTCGAGCTTACGAACTCTTAGGCAGAAAAACCTTGTAGAATTCAAGCTTACGAGCTCTTAGGCTGAAAAGCCTTGTAGAATTCAAGCTTACAAGCTCTTAGACTGAAAAAACCTTGTAGAATTCGAGCTTACGAGCTCTTAGGTTGAAAAGCCTTGTAGAATCCGAGCTTACGAGCTCTTAAGTGTGGAATTTGGCCTTGTTTAACATAAACACTGGATGTTTCATTGATTTCTCAAAAAATGAGGTTACACGGTGGTCTTTCCTTTCATTACAAGAACTTGCAGGAGGGGGGTTACTAGTAGTAGTGCTTTAGATGATCGGCATTCCACGAATGTGGTAGGTCTCTCCCTTCCTCGGTCTGCAGCGCGTAGATCTCGGGTCAAACTATTCTCTTTACAATGTAAGGGCATTCCCAGTTGGGTCCGAGCTTTCCGTGGGCTAGGTCTTTTTGAGTTGGAAGCACTTTCTTTAGAACCAAGTTGCTTGGCTTGAAACTTCTTTCCCTTACTCGTTTGTTATAGAATCTAGCCGTGTTCCTTTGGTAGGAGAATATCCGCTGGAGCGCTTCGTCCCTCTTTTCATCTAGGAGGTCAAGATTTATCAACAGGGATCTTTCGTTTTGTTCTTGGTTGAAGAGCTCGACTCTTGTGGTGGGTATGCCAACCTTGACAAGGGCCACTGCCTCTGTCCCGTATGCCAGGCTAAAAGGGGTTTCACCGGTTGCAGTTCGGACAGTTGTTCAGTAGGCCCAAAGCACGGCGGGGAGGTGGTCCACCCATTGAGATTTAGATGTTTCTAGCCTGGATTTTAGTGCTAGCTTTATCGTCCTGATAGTTACCTCGGCTTGCCCGTTGGATTGCTGGTGCCAAGAAGTAGTTTTTGATTCTCAGTTCGAAACAAAATTCCATTGAATACCGGATTATCGAACTGTTTTCCATTATCTGAAACCAAGGCTCTGGGGACGCCAAAACGGCCGATTATTGAATTCCAAACGAAGTTCTTGACCTTTTATGTCGTGATCTTGGCCAGCAGTTCCGCTTCCGTCCATTTAGAGAAATAATCCACCGCGACTATGACGAACTTGTGTTGCCCGACCCCAACTGGTAACAGTCCCAAGATGTCCAATCCTCACTATTGAAAAGGCCAGGGGCTAACCACGGGGGTTAATAGCTCAAGTGGGCAGTGCGATAAATTGCTATGGACTTGGCAGACCTGGCATTTCTTAACTATCGCTTTGGCATCCCTTAGCCATAATTGGCCAGAAGTAACCTTATCTCAGTGCCTTGCCTGCCAAAGTCTTAGCGCCTATATGGTTTTTGCACATTCCCTTGTGGATCTCCCTCAGAATGTAATCTGCTTCTACACCTGATACGCATCTCATAAGCGGAACAAAAAAATCCTCTTTTATAGAGGTTACCTTGGATCATTGTGAACCTTGACGCTCGGGTTCTCATTTTCGAAGACTCTTTCGAGTCGTTTGGCAAAATTCTGTCTTGCAGGAAGGATATTATTGGGGCCATCCACGAGGCGTCCTCCTCGACTAGCATGACTTGGCCTTCGCTCTCGTGCCCTTCCTCGACTCGTACGCTTGGCTAAGCCAGGATCTCTACGGGTGTCTTCCTCGACAAGTCGTGGTTTGCAGTGGTGGCTAACTTGGCCAGGGCGTCAGCCCGGGTGTTGGCCTCTCGAGGTATCTGTACCAGCTCGATCCACACAAACTTTTTTAGCAAGCTATGCACTTTCATCACGTAGAGTGTCATCTTCTCTTCTTTAGCGACATACTCTTCCTCAACCTGTCGGACCACCAGTTGTGAGTCGCTATGACCTACGATCTGTTGTGCTTCCATTGATAAAGCCAAGTTTAGCCCAACTATGAGGGCTTCATACTCGGCTTTGTTATTGGATGCCTGAAAATCAAACTGTAATGCATATTCGAAGTCATACCCCTCTGGCGACGTTAGGATAAGGCCAGCTCCGCTTACCCGGGCGTTAGATGCCCTATCTACGTACAACCTCCAGGTCAAAACGTCTGAGATGTTGTCTCAACTCTCTTCATCCTCTTCTCACGGGGAAGTGAACTCGGCCAGGAAGTCTGCTAGGGCTTGCCCCTTAATCGTAGTCCTGGGCTTGAACTTTATGTCGAACTCACTTAGTTCCATTGCCCATTTCACCAGTCGCTCGAAAACCTCGGGCCTGTGTAGAACTTGTCTCATTGGTTGGTCTATTGGGACCTCTATGGTATGTGCCTGAAAATATGGTCTCAGTCTTCGAGTCGCTACTAGGAGGACCAACACGAGCTT